TTTACAATATGTAACTTAAATTCTGCAACTTACATCAAAGCATTGGTTTATAATTATCTATATAGGTAAACGCGGTAAAATTGAGTTACGAAATTGGTGAATTCGAGTTGCGAAATCTGAATTTGAGTTACGAATTTGGTAAATTCGTGTTACGAAATATAAATTCTTGTTGCGAATTCGAAAACTGTGTTGCGAATTCGTTGGTTATTTTTACAAACCCCAAAAAATTGGTTAAAATCATATATTATAAGACATTTTCGATCACTCAAATTATTTTCTCTTTAGTTTTTGCGCATCCACAAAATGAAAAACAAAGCTTAGACTTTTATTTAAAAAAATACAACATATAAATTATAGAAAAGGCTAAAGGTTTTGTCGTAGAGCAAAAGATTAGGAACTCTACTTTTTTTTTGCATCTCTAAATATTTTAAATTTTTCGTATAATTTATATATTTTCTTATATTTTATATTGATATTTCAATTATGTCACCTAAAATTTCATTATATAATTTTTTCAGTTCACATTTAACATAAAATTTTGTTGTGTGATGCGGCAGCCGTAGATCATAAATGGATGTGTGGAGTTTGTGTCATTGAATTCTATGAAACTCGCTTTCCTTAGCTTAATCAACAATTAAGTAATGAGATTAGTTGGTAAATCGTGTCTTAGAGAGATTTGATTTGGAATTTAAACCTGATCACCCTGGTGGTTGTGAGGAATGAAGTTGATTTGTTGAAGGGACCACAATGATATGGTTGGACTTTCCCTCTCAAATTTTCCCTAAACCGCAATAACTTTGCTTTAAAACACATACTAAATAGAAAGCATAACCGATGTCATTGATATATTAAGTTGGGGAGTTGTTTTCATGACGTTAAACTGTGTATTTTTAATTGAGCCGTGAGTAATGCTTGATTACCCGAATGTATGGCAGGGAAGTTGCTTGAAGTAGCATGCCGAATGCTGGTGGACATGGGACAAGGTTCTCGCTTTACCACATGCAACATATGAAACACCACCACCGTCGTTTCCCTCGTGCCATTAAACAAAACTCGAAACAATTCAAAGGGTATAATTCTTAATCTTCCTTTTCATTCGCATTTGTTTATTTGCCGAAGGAACATTTACAGCTAAATCCAGGTAGGGACGCCACCATGTCAAGTTGTTCAAAACATTTAATGTGTCAGCCTACCGTACCAATAATGAAATAATATCTTCTCATTTAACCTTCTCTCCATGTCGAGTATCTCGTTCCAACCGAAATATTTTACTCCATTGTTGGTCTACTGCAGGTGAACCCAGCATAGTTTACAAGTGTGATGCTTTGCTCTCTACCATAGGATTTTTTTCTTTCTTTCTTTCTTTTTTAACGGTGGGATGATGCAGCCAAACATGGGAAGATGGAAAATGGTGAGAAAATTTATTGTAAGATTGTTTTCCAGTCCCACATGCATAAATTCAATGATTCAGCCAGGTTGGCTTGGTTGCTGATACCCTCTAATGTACATTTTTTTCTCAATTGTGTGTAATGTGGTGGTGGGGGAGGAGGAGATATGGGAAATGGGAGGGGTGAGGGATTTGATTTTGTGTGAAGTAGATGGGGTCAATCCCACTTTAATAACCATAATAAAATAAAGCAAAAAACAAAAGGCATCACACCAGTTTTATATGTGGAAATTATTAATTAAAAATGTATTCTCTCTTTTAAGAAATTTGAAACTGTAATTATTATTGTTTTTCTTGTGTGGTCACTGTTATTTTCAGCATGGACGTACGTATGATTTTAAATTTAAGTGAACTTAAACTTATAAAATTTTAGGAGAACGAAAATATATTTTTAATAAAAAATATAAAAAATAGTTTAAAATATATTATAATTTTATATTTTTAAGAGGGACGGCTTTGATCACTTTCTCTCTAGTTCCATCCCTAGTTTCCGGGAATAAGTAAAGAATCTATTTTTCAAGGCCATAAATGATAATGTTAGATTAAGAGGGAGAGGATAAATATGTTAGAATCTATTAATATTCAATCACGTATAATATGAGATATAGTTATCTTTTAAATGAAGGCTTAACAAATGCCAAACCAAGGGAAAGCATCAAAATGTCTTTTTCGTCATTTGTTGAAGAAATTACACTAACCTGTTGAACTTAGGATGCTAAAAATTATAGTACCGATAATTCTGGTTTAATTAGATTTTAATATAAATATATGTAAAATATTAACAGGTAAGTTTTTAGAATTATGGCACTAAATTAAATTCTATTTTGATTTTATGTTATTATATTTAATGAATTAGAAATGGCCATCCAGCTCAGTTGGTAGAGCACAAGGTTCTTAACCTTGAGGTCGTGGGATCAAGTCCCACGGAGGACATTTCATAATTCAGAGGTCTCTTACGGAAACTGCTCTCAACCTGGTGTTGGGGCAGTCTACTATCTTACCTCTCCCTTACCCCATACATATGGGAAAAAGGGACAACCATTTTTTAATTAAATGAATTAGTATTTTATGTTATTAAATTAAATGAATTAGTATTTTATTTAATTACCTTTTATTTTAAATAAATATAAGGTTTAACACACTTTTTAGTGCTTACCTCAAAATACAATTTGATGCTTATTTTTTTTTAACAATAAGTGTCTAATGTTTCTAACATTACACTTTTAGGTGTTTGAACCGTGATGACTATTAAATTTGATTGTTATCTAACACGTGTCATCATATAAAATTTCAAAAATCATTTTTAAAAAAAATTAATATTATAATTAAAAAAACAAAAAACCCCTAAAATTTATATCTTATGCCGTCGATCGGTCACCATCGATATATGATCATCACCGTTGATACCATCAGAATCGTCTTGCCGTCACGACCAAAACTCAGTCCTTCACACATCATGAAACTGCACCGATCATCGTGAAAAACGAAGCAAAGGGTTGCCGAATTTCTAGGTTTTTCATTATTGTTTTTCGGCGATTTTAATTGCTCGTCCTACACGACTGTCACCATTGAATTCCTCTTCCTACTTCGAACAAAACCCGATCAGTGGTGACCATTCACTGTTGGAGTCCGGAGGTGGGGGGAACGGGAGGGGGAGGGACGGCGGGAGGGTGTTTGATTTTTTTTTTAACTTTTAAAATAATATTTTTATTATTAAAAAAGTTAAAAAAAATTAAAAATATAACGGTAGACACCTAAAAGTGTAGCAATGAAAACATTAAACACCTATTGTTAGTAGAAAAATTCTTTAGATACCAAAACATATTTTGAAATATATTTTAAACACTCGAAAAATTATTAAACCTAAATATAAAAATAAAAATTATGTTAATTCAGATCAAATTAAAATTGAAACTCTAAATACTTTTACGGCTTTTGGAATTAATGTTTCATCAGTTTTTGCTTCATACTCCTGTGGAGAATGGATTTCCTCCTTATCCACATTGATGTCCATAACTGACTTCCGGCTCTCACTAATGGTGTTGTATAAGGTATGGCTCCGACGCAATCTCCAAATCCATGAGGGCCGGTTGATGCGAGATTGGCAAGTGGTGATCACTAGCAAGGTACTTCTTGCTTCCTTCGAATCAACGAGGATCTTATATGGGCAAGGAGCACCGGCATCAAGTAGTTCAGTAGACAGGTGGTGCAAACCTCCACTGGATACTTTGAAGATTAATGTCGACGCTGCATGCTCTCCATCCAAACTCAAAGCAGCAGTGGGCATTGTTGCATGGGATAGCCATGGACTGGTGATAGCTAGTCAAGCTGTCCCTCTCCCGGGGATTTGTGATGCTGCAGTGGCTGAAGCTTTGGCAATAACTTACGGGTTGCGATTGGCGACGGAACTTAACTTCCCCCGATTCCAAATTGAGAGTGATGCTGAAGATTAATGTACTTATTAGGAATATAATACTCGGTTTAGAGTTAAGACCCCTATAAAAAAAGTTCTATACTGGTCATCAAGTTAAACAGTTATTACATTACTAACAAAATCAGTTAAATTATTATATTTATGTTAACTATTATCTCAAATCGTTCCCAAAATATATATTAAAATTATTCTCTATATTTACATTAAATTCAATAAAATGCAATAAAACAGTTATTTATTTTATTTTTACAGTTATATTATTCTTTGCCATAACATTTATTCTATATTAGTTTATGATGAATGTTATAGAGTAAATATCAATTTTAAAAAATGATTTTTATTATGTTTTATATAAAATTTAAATTAAATTACAGATAATTATATAAATAATCATTTGAAATATAATATTGAGTAAAAACAGTTAATTTAAACAGTGACCGATCCAGAAATATTTTTTAAGGTGACCAAACATATGTTAACAACGTAAAATCTTTAAATGCGATTGAGTATAAATAAAATTTCAAGTACGAATTAATAGGAGAAAACTTAAATTTTAAAGGTGGACAAAAAATTTAAGGGTGAACAATTTCAGTGAAATAAATAACTAATTTTAAAAAAATCGAATTTCAATACCACCCTCACGTCGGCGCCGCCACTGAATCTAGGCTGTATTACATACGAACATGAAAAACTTAAAAGTACGTAAAACAGATATGAAAATGGGAGAGAATAGCATTGTACGGTTTGCGAGTCAACAATGCTGTACTGGATCGGAAGCCGAAGCAGTCGTCCAACAGCCCGGAGAATAGAGTAAGAAAATGGTGGATTGATTATTGTATGGTGTGCGTGCGAGTCAACTATGCCATGCCTTCATCTTCTTCTTCGATGTTTCCTTTGAAACCGTAATCATGGCTGCTTAAAGTGGTCCTCCGATTCAAAACCAAAATCCGGCCATCCGAACAAAAGTCAAAACCCGACGTTTTTCTGTTTATTATTAATAATTAAAGTCCAAAAACACATCTACCTCTTTCTATTTTTTTATACCAGTATAAAGTTCGTATTTGGATATAATCAAAGTTTGATACTTTCCACTTTCTTCTAAGTTTTCTAGGATAAATAAGATCCCCCCAAATGTAACCTCATTTCATTTTTCAACGATTACGCCAAACCCCCTAGACCTGGTAAACCATTTCAACTTGTTTTGTTCTATTCTTGATATCATATTTAGCTTTCCTTTGGTTTCTGTTTTGTGTGTGCCAAGCTTTCACTTGCTGAATTTTGAGATCCAAGGATTGTTTGTATTTTTTTCTCTGGTAGAATAGACGACGAGCTTTTAGTTGGTAATCCATACCTGGGTCTGACTATTTTCGTGAGGTATAGTTGTTCAAGTTTTGATTTTGATTTTTTTTTTCTGATGAAAGTTCAAGTTTGATTTTTGATGTATAAATATTTTCCCTGAAAATTGAAGAGGAAAATATTGGGAGTTTTGTTTACATTAGGAAGATCAAACCTTTATGAGTTGATCGGTTTTGTATATAGATGTGAAAGCTAGTGATTGTAGTATTTTGAAGGAGAGATTTAACTGTAAGAGTAGATGGGTAATACTTGTGTAGGTCCAAGCGTTTCCAAAAATGGGTTTTTCCAATCGGTTTCCGCCGCAATATGGCTGAACCGATCACCCGATGGATCGGTTTCTCATATGAATGGCGAAACTGAAGGTGAGATAGCTGCTAAAGAACCCGAATCACCATTACCAGTTCAAAACAAACCTCCGGAACAAATGACAATGCCGAAAATCGATACGAAACCGGAAACTAAATCTGCAAAATCTACTAAACCCAAGTCCATCAAGAGGATGTCCAGTGCAGGGCACAGGACTGAGTCAGTGTTACAAACAAGGACTGGAAATTTCAAGGAATATTATAGCCTGGGGAGAAAATTGGGACAGGGGCAATTCGGGACGACGTTCCTTTGTGTGGAGAAGTCTACCGGAAAAGAGTATGCCTGCAAATCGATTGCAAAGAGAAAGTTGTTAACCGATGAGGATGTAGAGGATGTGAGAAGAGAAATTCAAATAATGCACCACTTGGCAGGGCATCCGAATGTTATATCAATAAAAGGGGCTTATGAGGATGCAGTGGCAGTTCATGTTGTTATGGAATTATGCGCCGGTGGAGAGCTTTTCGATAGAATTATTCAGCGCGGACACTATACGGAACGGAAGGCAGCCGAACTTACGAGGATTATAGTCGGTGTTGTGGAAGCTTGCCATTCTTTGGGGGTTATGCATAGAGACCTTAAACCAGAGAATTTCCTTTTTGTCAACCAGCAGGAGGATGCACCTCTCAAAACAATTGATTTTGGATTATCCATTTTCTTTAAGCCAGGTATAGACTGATTGAACTTATTCTCTTTCAATTACCCAAAAATGGTAATGCTGCTTTTACTCATCCTTTGATCTTCTTCACTTGTATTTACTGATATCATAGTGTTATCCTAGAATATTTACACTTCTACTTTTCCCATGTAGGTGAAAAGTTTACAGATGTGGTTGGGAGCCCATACTATGTTGCCCCGGAAGTTTTACGAAAGCATTATGGTCCCGAAGCTGACGTCTGGAGTGCAGGAGTAATTCTTTACATTCTCTTAAGTGGAGTTCCTCCTTTTTGGGATGGTAAGAAATTAGTCGATGCATAAGATTTTTCCGTTTTGATCAATCACGATTGAGTAGAATTCTAATTTAGTCAAGTGCAAGTATTTAAGCTGCCCTTTTGGTTTACACCATCATGATCATGTTTTGATACTCACACTTTTCTCCCTTCTTTCCCCATTATATAGAAGAAGAGCAAGGTATATTTGAACAGATCTTGCATGGTGATCTTGATTTTGAGTCGGACCCTTGGCCTAGCATCTCCGAAAGCGCAAAAGATTTGGTGAGGAGAATGCTCATTCGAGATCCCAAGAAACGGTTAACTGCACATGCTGTTTTGTGTAAGTCAGCCATTTATTCCAGCATTTCTATTTATCATTATTACCTTTTGTTCTTCTGCTTCATGGATCCTACTGCTGGGAAGTGGGTACTTCCCATGTTGTCGGCGTGGTCGTAAATCCCTTTTCTTTTGTTTAGTGCTCGGGATTGGGATTCTGCAGTTTTAGTCTTTTGAAGCATTTTCTTATGCAGGCCACCCTTGGATACAGATTGATGGTACTGCTCCTGACAAGCCTCTTGATTCTGCAGTTTTAAGTCGTTTGAAGCATTTTTCTGCAATGAATAAGCTCAAGAAAATGGCCCTTCGAGTAAGTCTCGTGACATGATAAACACAATATACGACAAAAAGGGGGTTCAGAGAGAGTGGGGAGGGAGGGATGGGAAAGGGAAAGGATTGTGTAGCTTGTTTATCAAGATTTTGCAGTTCATATTTTCTAGTTATGTTGATGAGCTGAATTTTTCTTCTTATCCCTTGCAGGTGATTGCAGAGAGCCTCTCCGAAGAAGAAATAGCTGGCCTCAAAGAAATGTTCAAGATGATAGACACGGACAACAGCGGTCAGATCACCTTCGAAGAACTTAAAGTGGGATTGAAAAGGGTTGGAGCTAATCTTAAGGAGTCGGAAATTTATGATCTTATGCAAGCAGTAAGTATGAGATCCGATTTGGAATATAATGTATTGAGAATCTTAGAGGTTTCTCCAACTGCTAGCAATTAGTACCAAGTGTTATTTGGACTTAGGGTGATTCTTCTTAAACCACAGGCTGATGTTGATAATAGCGGCACGATCGATTACGGGGAATTTGTAGCTGCAACGCTGCACCTAAACAAAATCGAGAGAGAAGATCACTTGGTCGTGGCCTTTTCGTACTTCGATAAGGATGGTAGTGGTTATATTACTCCGGACGAGCTCCAGCAAGCTTGCGAGGAGTTTGGCATAGAGGATGTTCGCCTTGAAGAAATGATACGCGAAGTCGATCAAGATAATGTAAGTGATGATTCTTCATTCTCGTTACAATATAAAATTGTCTAGTTCTTGGTAGAAAACCTTGAATGCGTCCGTATTCTATCGATCATATGCAGGATGGACGCATAGATTACAACGAGTTCGTGGCGATGATGCATAAAGGACATGTTGCCACAAACGGGGCCGGTGCCGGAGCCGGTAAGAAAGGACTACAAAATGGTTTTAGCATCGGATTCAGAGAAGCATTGAAACTTTAGCATAGGCATCCCATCATTTTGTCTGTTATTTATTTTACTTTCTCAGTAATTGTATAGTAAGAAGAAGCAGTGCAATGCTCATTGCCCCTTGTACATTTTCTTCAATCTTTTTGTGAAATCAGAAGGAACATGGTTTCACTTTTATTTAATCATTTAGTTGCACGAATTAAACGATTTTAGTTGTTAAAAAGATGATTGTTTTCTTTTGAGGTTTCAGATTCAAGTACAACTTCGTAGGTATTTACGAGCGTTCATCGTCAAATGGTTAAAAATATTTAGAACATATATTATTTTATAATCACCCATACTAATAAAGAAATTATATTTAGTAATTGTCAAAGCATGAGCACATAATTACATTATTTTAATATATTTTAATTAATAATTTATATATATATATATATATATATATATATATATATATTAAAATTATTAAAATTATATAAATCTTTGATTTTTATTATTATTTACGCTCTCACCATTCATCTAACCTAAAATAAATTTATTGATCAATATTTCATATTTCCTTTCCATATTATTCTTTCTTTTTTATTCAACGGCTGAAATTACACTGTTTAACCAAAACGCCTATCCAACGGCTTGTGTTCACTTTTTTTTTTTTTTTGGATAAGTAACTTATATTCATCCAAAGAAAACAGCAAAAGCTGCAACAAAACAACGGTAAACACTATATCAGTCCCCAACTCATATACAAGTACCTATATACATCATCTCTTCTATATGTAGAGTGTCTATACAATTTGTACTGAACAATATCTTTAATCTTTGTAACAATCGCATCAACACGCTTGTGTTCACTTTGCCATAAGTTAATGGTTGTATTTCCTCGACAGATTGATAAAAGCCGCTACTGTGACTTTGGAAATAAAAAATCAGGATTATGATGATAGACATTTGATTGTTGTATTTCTTGCGTCACTTTTGAAATAGAAAATTTTCCTTGTTAGAATCCTTTATCCTGGAGCTAACTTCCAGGACAGTAGTTCTCAAGGTTTGCATGGTGAGGTTGAGGTGTGCAACAAAAGGGTTAGCTTGCATTTTATTCAAACATGCTGGGTGGATTATGTTGAACACATCTCGTATACAGAGTATGCTACTTTACGGTTTTAACTATTAAAGCCCTTATCTTTCTTTTGTTGGTGGGAATCTAGTTTTGCAAGCTGAGGTTATGACTTGGGAGGATTGGAGTGTATAGACAGTATAAATGATTTTGTAGTGGCATACTTAAATTACCGTTATATCTTTTATAAAGACTTACAAATAAAATGACATATTTTGTCATTGAGCATTTAGTTTTGAAATGGTTAACTACATATTTGGTGCTCCAATTATATCCATTTCCTTGATTTGGTACCTAAAATTTAGTATTGCATTTCAAGTTTTTAATCTGAAATGTCGAACTGAGAATTTGACTGTAATGTATGCATCAAATTTATAATTAACCCAAATGAAATTGTTGCCAAGACTTAAGACAGTGATGATAATAAATGAGGTTCGAGTAAGAAATCATGTGTGATGATAAAAAGGTGTGCATACCTAATCAGTCTATCTCTACTCACTTTCTTCTCACAACGCTAACCACCACAAAGTATTGCTTCTTTTGTAAACATCAGCTTATCAGAATTTATTGTTTAAACGCTTTTCTGTTTAATATGCAGTTTTGCTACTACTGCTCCTGGTACAACCAATTGTTTGGCGAATAAATTTGATCCAACTGGGATCTTATTCAGGCCCCCTGAAACAGCGATATCCACTTCTGGATCAACTTCGATGTCAGCTGGAATCATCTTCAAGTTTGATACCTCGAAGAATAGTTCTACTTTGAATAGTGGGTCTCTTGCTTCAAGTCTTTTTTCTTACACTTTGCCAACACCATCTCTAATCCCCAATAATGGTCAGAGTTCATCCACTGGTTCTATCAAATATGTATCCAGCACCAACAGTGACACTTTTGATGCCTCCACCGCATCCACTACTGCCAGTATCACCTTTAGCAGTACAAGCAGCAGCCCCTCAGTTGATGCTTCAGTCTCACTATCTACTGTTGCACCTGTTTTCAAGTTTGCATCCTCTGGGTTCCCATCAGCTCCAGTTTCAACCTTGTCTGCAACTTCAAGGGAAGCAGTCGAAGCGAAGACCCAGGATACAAGCTCCGGCAATGTTGGTCTTTTTGGTAGTAATCCTGTGTTAGCTGTATGAAGTCTGTTTTCCACATTGAATGTGCCATGCTGGCAGTAGCCGTTCAGAGGAAGTTAGGCGGTTAGGAGACTGTTGAGAGGTTAGGCAGTTAGGAAGCGGTTGAGCTTCTGTTAAGCTGGATCACTTGTGTAGTATAAAAACAGAGCTCGTGCATTGTAATCAGCAAGTTCATCAATATACATTTTCTGTATTCTTTGCTTTCTTTACTCATTCTAATATGGTATCAATCGCCATAGATCTTGGGATCTCAAGATCGGTTTCTGTTTCCGTTGCCTGAGTAGTTTCTGATGGAGATCGCTATGGGTTCTAAAACATTTACCAATAAGAAGGTAAATGTGGTGTTAGATGAAATGAATTTTCTCCTTTGGAAGCAACAGATACTGCTCACCATTTGAAGTCACCGCTTGGAACGCCTGCTTACCGGAGCAGCCGTAACTCCGCCGGAAACGGTGGTTGATGAAGATGGCACCGTTCGTCTCAACGATGAATATGAAGATTTTGTAGCTCAAGACAGTGCCTTAGCATCCTGGTTGCTGTCTACGATTAGCCCACACCTTCTTCCCCAATTCGTTGGCGCTGAAACGGCAACAGCCGTTTGGAATACAGTTCTTCATTTCTTTGCAAATCGCTCAACAACAGCAGTTATGAGCCTTCACTACAAGCTCCAATCTTTAAAGAAAGGCGGTGACAGCATGCGAGCCTATCTCACCCGTGTCAAAGAGGTCTGCGATGCTCTAGCATCCTGTGGGAGTACGGTTCCTCAAGTTGAACAAATAGCCAGCATCTTGAAAGGACTCCCTCGAGAGTATCAACCTTTCATGGCAATTATCACGTCCATGAGGGACACCCTATCCTTAGACAACATCTCTACGATGTTAATTGATGCAGAAACTCAGTTAGCCAGCTTTGATGACCAGCTTGAAACTCTACCTATGAGTGCGAATATTGCACAAAGTGAAGTAAGAAATACTTCTAATAATCCTAACCAACGATCTAGTTACTCTTACAGTTCGAGAACCAATGGTAGAGGTCGAGGCGATCCAGAGTTCAGTGTCAGCTCTGTGGAAAAGTTGGTCACCTTGTTGATCGATGTTGGCACAGATTCAACAAAGGCTTCTCCTGTGTTAGTTCTGTTCAACAAGATCAATATCAGTCTAAATACAACGTGGTTCCTTCCTCTAATAGCTTTACAAGTTCATCTACTGATGATGGCTGTGAACGTTGTGCCATGAAGCGAAATGGATCTGCTGCAAGCGATCAACCACAAGTTCACACAGCCTCTATGCAGTCTGAGCGTTGGGTGGTCGATACAGGCGCCACGCATCATGTCACTGCTGATGCCAACAAGGTCATGAACTCCTCTGAATATCGTGGTCCAGGTAAGCTTTTAATTGGGAATGGTATGCCTTTCGATGTATTTTTGGTTGGCCGTGCTCAAGTAAACACCTCATCCCGTATACTTTTCTTGAATAATTTGCTACATGTGCCACAAATAACCAAAAATTTGCTTTCAGTTTCGAAGCTTGCTAAGGTCAATAATGTCTTCATTGAATTTCATGCAAATCGATGCTGTATTCGGGATGAAGCGACTGGAAATTTGCTACTTCAAGGAGAAGAAACTGATGGTCTGTATTCGTTTGCCATGGATGAACCTCTAGAGGCTAACGTTGCCCATACAAATAGCAGTCTTGATTCTACTCGGTTAGATGAGCTATGGCATCGTCGGCTTGGACATCCCGCTGCTGAGACGTTATCAAAAATAGCCTCTACAATAGGTGTTAAAATTCATTCTCATGTAAATAAAGAGTGTGTTGCATGCCATGTAGGCAAAAGTCATAAACTTCCTTTTAATGAATCCAATACTTTGGCTAATTCCCCGTTTGAACTTGTGTATTCAGATTTATGGGGACCCCCACATATGTCCTCCAACGGCTTTAAGTTTTACATATCCTTTGTAGATACCTACACTCGACATACCTGGATTTATCTTTTAAAACATAAAGATGAAGCATATTTGGCATTCCAACTGTTTCAGAAACTTATATCTAATCAGTTCGGGAGCACGATCAAAGCACTGCAGACGGACTGGGGCGTTGAATTTTACAGCATTTCACACTTACTGGCTCGTGCTGGCATTATACATAGGCTCACGTGTCCACACACCTATGAGCAAAACGGTGTGGTAGAAAGGAAACACCGTCATATTGTTGAGCTAGCGTTAGTATTGTTAGCCCAGGCGTCCTTATCAATCAAGTATTGGTCATATGCTGTCACCTCTGCTGTACACTTAATTAATCGCCTGCCAACTAAAGTATTACAAGATATGTCACCTTTTGAGAAATTGTTTGGCAAGAAACCCGAATACACTATGATGAAGACCTTTGGCTGCCAATGCTTTCCGCATCTGAGAATGTTTCAAAAGCACAAGATGTCGTTCCGGTCACAAGAATGCACTTACTTGGGAATTAGCCCACGGCACAAAGGCTTCCAATGCCTGGCACCCGATGGACGAGTATATGTTTCTCGTCATGTTGTATTTAACGAATCTATTTTTCCATTTGCAGGGAAAGGCAGCTGTACTTCCCTAGATCCTGCAGTCAATCCGAATGCTCAGACCCTTCGAATTATTACAACATTCAGAAACTCTTGCTGTCCAGCTCCATCAAACTTGACCAATACAACTAATGTGCATGAAGAGGGTAATGGTGCAGAGGCTCCCAACGCACTTGAGACAGATATTGACGAAACCCAGCATGTTCCAGATGATATCGTACAACATGCTCTTGATACTACTA